ACTACTTTCTGTTTCTCTTTTTCACATAAGGTCAGAGCTGGATCTTTCTGATTTATTTAGTTGTTACAGAGCCACTTTAAGATATGAACAGTGTCAAAAATGAAAATCAATGGTCAAGACAAGTCTTTCATTTCACTGTCTGGAAAAAACATTGCAAAAAGCCTTCTCTCTACAGAATTTTTATCCTCAATAATGCACAAAAGTTCATATCCAGAATCCTTTAGACATACAACCACATCCGGCCCCCCAGTGGCACAGCGGTATGTCTGCGGACTTACAATACTAGAATCCGGGTTTCGATACCTGTGGTGGGCAAAGCACAGATAACCCATTGTGTAGCTTTGTGCTTAATTACAAACAAACAACCACATCCACAGTAGGTTTGTAGAAAATATCAGCATCCATACAAAAGACTGCTGAAATCACAAAGGCTTGTATACTGTTTGAGGTGTATTTATTGCTACACCAGTGAAATACCCCCCTTTAAATTAAATTTGAGATTCTACATGAATCTCGTTTAACAGTAAAATGATTATTATTTTATATTCTGATTATAATTGTGCCTATTTATTTAGATATACAAGTTGAGAATCAGTAATAGCAGTTGATGAAACATTGATGTTGCTACCTAATTGTTTCAGTTTTTCGAATAATTACTTGACTATCTCAATACAATGCATATTTTAGTAGAATGTAACTCCAAATTAATAACTCACATGTTTGTTGTCTCTTATTTGATGGTGATTCGATGGATGTAATTAATAACTCGCACTAATATTGTCTTGTTTAATAAGATGTAATTGTTAGATAATATATTGGAGGTACTTAACACTTTGTTCAGCTATTGTTTTGTTTTCATTAAGTTTTAAACCACTCACTATTTCACATGATATTTCAATGGCAATTTTGATGCCATTTTTTGGTTTATTGAATCTCTGTTGACCCCTTTGATTGGAGGTAACTAATACAACTTTCAATTTGAAGCCAGGAATTAAGAAACTGGTCTTTAAAGCCCATGACTTCTTTTTCTGGACATGAAAACTAAGGTAAACCTTCACTTCATAAGTACATTTTACAGTTATAGAATAGTTAATTGTTGAGTTTCTTGAACTAAATGTTCATCACTTTTAACACAACTTTTATTCTAAGAGCTTCTATCTTATCACAAACATTTAGTAATAAGTCAGAGAAAGAGCTGATATGATTGTGATTAATATTCAACTGTCAATATTATGTTCTTCCTTTTTCAGTATTTCAGCTTTTAATTTTAACTTCTCTGGCAGTGTCCTGTTTTTTGAAACTTGGTGGGAAAGATATTTTAATATGTTTTCAAACTTTGTAGAAAATGCATCTGTCTTTAATATTGAAGCTTTGCCTTCAACAATACTGTCAGTTTTACTGAGGTTTTCCTTTATTATTAATTGGTTCTTGAAATGATTAATGCATTCTAATGCATCCTTCGAAGAAGAAAAATCATGCTGAATATTTTTTACCCATTGTCTTCTGAGTGAAACTAGGAAATATTACAGCCATCAACCTACAATATAATATTTTAATTTTTTTTTTGCCATGGGTAATTTGTCACTGTGTACATAAGCCAGATGTGGGATTTCTGTTTATACTAGACTCGTCTAGTGGCACTCAAATTTCTTGGTTCTCATGCTTACAAAGTGTATCAAAAGAGCTTAAGATATATAGGTTGTTACCTCTATGAACTTCATCATGTTTTTACTAGGTTTTTTCAAGTGGTTGACTTCTTAGTTAACTGTGTCTACAACAAGGTACAAGTACACTTGTCACAACAATTTTACAGATTTGCATTCAAAATTTAATTAAACAACTGTGTTATTAATGTTTGTCAATATATCTAGTATCAAAACTTAGTTTGTAATTCAAATTTTGATATAAGCAAGTTTTTAATTCAAATGAAACATTAAACAAAAATTGCATAGTATTAACTCTTATTAATATTTTATTACTTCCATGATATTTATTAACCAATAAAAACTCAAATTTCATCTATTGACAAACTAAGATATAAAATAGAACCTCCAACCTTTTTGATTTACTGGAATAGCAATATATTTACCAAACCTACCAAAGAAAATTCTACCATCCCTTTACTCTCTTGAAAACACTTATTTAATTATGCCTGCTTGTCTTAAGGATATGTTTACAACAAACAAAAATAGCATATTTTAAATTATATAAATCTGATCTTGCCTGTTTATCTGTTGATGGCCAAAGTTGTTAGTTTCCTAAGACTAATTTGTGTCTATTGACACAGGTTTTTGCTCTTAGCAGAAATGAAATTTTTTAAATTTGTCTATAGTTTAGTTAGAAAACCAGGTAAATTATTATAGTTTTGTTATATCCTGTAGCATCATATTTGACGTAATATTGGTAGAATAGTTAAGATTTGTACTTTGTAGGCCAATTTTACTATAGTTATAAGTTTGTGTGCTGAACATGTTATTTTTCTGCTCATCAACATTGAGGTAAAATTAAGCAAATTATACAACACTAGAAACTTGACAACCTAATGCATATTTTAAATCTACAAAAACTCATTGATGTTTGAGAGAATCAATAAGGCAGATCCATTTCATAACATCTTAAGTAGTATAACTCATTGTTTTTTATGTATATTTTTAATTTGTTGTTATATGTTTTGATAAAAATAATTACAATTTAAGTATTTCTGTGCAAATAATAACAATATACATGTGTGTGTGTGTGTGCACACATGTAATATGTAGTAACCAAAATTGCATCATATTTGACAAAATACTGGTATGCAAGTTACAGATTTGTACTTTGTAGGCCAGTATTTACCATAATTATAAGTTTGTCTACTGAACATGCATTATCTTTCTATTTGTCTACCTTGCCAATTATGATACAACACTAGAAACTTCACAATCTGAACAAAGGTATAATTATTCAAAATATTAAAATGACTTACTCAGCTCAGTGAAATAAAATTATGTGCAGATGTTTATTCTTCAAAAAATGGAACATCAATACAGTATGTATAAGACTGTGTGAATCAATGAAAAGTTATACACATTCTGACATATAAAAAAATACATGCAAATGTTGGCACATAATAAATGGCACACCAGAAGGAAAGGATAAAGAATGGGAAGATCTTTTAGAAAATTGAATGAAAATTTATATAAATGTGTGTTTCACTAAAAACCTTGAAGAATTTTTAAAACATTCTTACTTATGACATATATGAAATTATAAACTGATCTTGACACATAGCGAAAAGGAACATCAATACTGTATATCATGAACCACAACAGTGGTTCATAATAGGGAACACAAGGAATTGCTAAAACCCTAATAGAATATTTGAGCAAAAAGCACCTTAAACAGTAAAGATTCAGTTCAAACAACACATTAAAACCTTTAAAAAATATAAAAATGCACAAAAAGCATGCATGATAGACTTACAAGGAAAAGAAAATCTGCACAAAATGGCCCATTTGTAATTGTTGTTATTATTATTATTGTCTTACAAGCCTACAACAAAAATGGCTTGGTATATTGCACCCAAACCTTTTGTAGAATACCAAATAAGGTACTGTGAAGGTCATAGGGGTATTGAAAAGTTGGTTTGTTTCTTATATATATTTTACATAAGCTAAAAAAACATAATTCCAATGTAAACGATGTCATCATTACTATTGAAGTTAGCTTTCTTACAAATATCTTGTGTTCCTTTAAAAAGCTTAATTACAGGGTGAAACGGGAATTACCAACCAATAACAGATGAACATTAGATGACTGTAACATGTAGAGACTAAATGCTTTGTACACTATACAATCGGTGTCCTTAAGGAGCCAACCCCTAATTTTGTATAGAGTGAAGGTGTATAAACAAAATCAATATACATAATATTAAATTATTACATATTATTATCTGGTTGATTGGTTTGCTTCTTGAAAAGTATGTAGGTATACACAACTCTGAAGTCCAGAAGTTGAAAAGTTTCTTGTACCACTTTATTTTCTTTTGTCCAGAGAAATAATAATTTAAGTACTGGTTGTTTAGGTCCACCTCCCACATCATAAATTTATTGTAGGGTTTTTGTAACCTTAGTATCCTTCACTCCCTCTTGTCACAGCAGTCATAGTACTAAAATGTAAAGTGAATAAATGTCTAGTTTGTCAGTTAGTTTTACTGTTGGTTAGCTAACTGCAGATTCCAAAGTTTTTTGCACAATAAACAAGTCAGCATCACCTCTGACAGGGAAGGTTTTACACCCAATCTCTTCAAGAGATTCATTCTCACAACATACAAATCAATTTATGTTTATTACGTGCCAGAAGTAGCTCTTTGTTAGAGTAGAGCACCATGTCATCAGTAAAATGAACACCATTTCTTAATCTAAGATGGGTGATGCCTTTTGTTGATAGGCTATTTCAATCAACATCAAATACAACTGAACTCCCATATCTTCATGACACCAACTACACATCCAGGTGAAGGATCACATTGCTTGGTGATCTACAAGGCCATACCACACTGTCAAGCATGAAACCACCATCAAGAACATGTTGGACTTGTTTTCCTTGAGGCACCTGAGAAGCCAATGCTTTTGCTTGCACAAGAAGGTTCCTTTCCTATAATCCCATAAAAACCCAAACTATAAATGTTGGAGAAGTCCCAAGATTTAACCCAAATAAGTTTTGAATACTGGATGCCTAATAAATATGCACCGCAAGTACATATAGCAAGATGAATAAATTATATAATTGAGAGCAGCAGTAGGCCTAAAATTGTTATGCAAGCAGTTTTTGAGTACTATCAGAAGATGAATTAATGTGATATTACAAAATAAAAGATTCTACCATGAAATCAAAAACAAGCTGTTTTTAGTGGCTTTGAAATTATATAGCAGAAACTGAAACATTATAACAGAATAAACAAAAAGTTCTACACGGGGAATAAACACTGTTGCCGCAGCAAAGGTGTTTAAACATATGATTGGGTCAGTATGGAACTTGTCATTAATTTTAGGGTTAATCATAGTAGTAGTAAAGGGTTGTTGGTGTAACTGTTAGTTTTGGGTATTTTGTTAGGTTATGTGCTTTTTTTATTTCGAATTTGTTTGTTATTGTAATCAAATTAAGACAGTCTTTATTATAGTCTTAGCTGCCTTAATTTTATTGTCCTTTATAAATTTTATTCCTAAATGTCTTGATTTTGCTTGATGTCTATAATTTTGAGTTACTCAGTAGTTGTGTTTAAGATTTTTTGTGCTATCTGTAAAATGTACTTGATCAGTAACTTTGTGTGGCACTTGTAATGTTTACTTGGTCAGTAGTTTTAGATCTGTTTATATGGTACCTATAATACTTATTTCATCAGTAGTTTTGTATGGTACCTGTAATTAGTATTTTTACTGTGTAGTGTAAGGTAAAGGTGGATCATAAAAATGTTCAGTGTTAGAATCTTTTCTATTTTCTCTATATTTCACATTTCTAGGCATCCAAACCTAGTCAATTTTCTGGACAGTTACTTAGTGGAAGAAAACCTGTGGGTTGTTATGGAGTTTCTGGAAGGAGGAGCTCTGACAGATGTTGTGACTGAAACTGTTATGCGAGAAGAACAGATGGCAGCTGTCTGCCGGGAGATACTTCAAGCTATAGCTTTCCTTCACTCCAAAGGGATTATCCACAGGGATATCAAGAGTGATAACGTGCTGTTGGGGATGGATGGAAGTGTGAAAGTGACAGACTTTGGTTTTTGTGCTCAGATATCGCCAGATGAGAAACGGCAGACTATGGTGGGAACACCATACTGGATGGCTCCTGAAGTTGTCACCAGAAAACAGTATGGCAACAAGGTGGACATATGGAGCTTAGGAATTATGGTTATAGAAATGGTGGAGGGGGAACCTCCTTACCTGAATGAAACCCCCCTTAAAGCCCTTTATTTAATCACTACCAATGGGAAACCAGAGATTAAAAATGAAGACAAACTATCACCTGAGTTACAAGATTTTCTCCACAAATGTCTTGAAGTGGATGTTGAAAAACGAGCTTCAGCGGATGAGCTGCTACAACATCCATTTCTCTCCAAAGCTGAGAGCTTATCAACAATCACTCCACTGATTAAAGCAGCCAAGAAGGTATTGAACAAGCAATGAGTTGCAGGATCCCAGTAGGTCATGCTTAGATTTATTGGGTCTTAATGTATACTTTACATTACATAAATATTTAAGATCTTTTAAAAACTTGATGAGTAAAAACTGAAGTGTTATTGGTTGGTTTTAATATTTTGTGCTTTCTGTAAGATGTGGTATTCATTATTTCACCTTAGACAAAAATAATAGCTAAGGTTGGTGACCAAGAAGTAAAGTGTAGTAAAGCTAGCATTCGATTGTGTTCTAGACTAGGTTGTTTTATGATAAGCAGTTCAGTGAGTTAATGGTTTAAGAAGGTTTATTTTAATTAATTAGTTGAATAATGATATCATTTTGCTTCATTAGAACCAAACACTTTCCTCAACATTGATGATGTTTGTAAAACATGATGCAGAAAGAATCACCAATTTCTTTTGATGGTAGAAATTCAGAGTTGGGATGTATGCATGAGTGTGTGAAGCTACTTTTAGCCATGAGTATTTGAATATATAAAATGTTTATATGTTTCTGTCTTCTTAAACACAAGAATTTTAACTTTTTCATCTGTGTTACATGTCAGGTAATAATCTTTTTTTTTTTTATGGAGAATTTGCATTGAGTTTAATTACATGGTCACTTAAAGTGCAAAATATACATCTAGATTTTAAAGCAAAAAATCTAAAAGCTGATCTCATCAAAAGTCTAACATTCCCTGAAAGAGCTGTGTAGGGCATAAATCCTCCAGAAAGAACTGTGTGGGGTATAAAATCTCCTTAAAAAACTGTGTGGGTATAACATCTTGGAGAGCTCTGTGGATGTATAAAACCTCATTAAAGTGCTGTGTGGGGCTATAAACCCACCTGAGAGAGTTGTGTAGGATATAACATTCCCTGAAAAAAGTGCATAGAGTATAACACTCTTAGAATGAGTTGAAATATCAAACTGGTCATTAAAATAATTAACGAGGTAATTAATGTATATATTTGAGAATTTATATATGAATGAATAATATATATTTTCAGATATTCATGTTCGGCTTTAGCGAATTTTCTGTGTACTAAACTACATCACTAATAGGAGATATTTAGCTGTAATTAGTGTTTACTATAGCATCTGGCAGTTGACAGGATTTTTAACAATGGGTATTTGTGTGAATGTATGATTGAGATGTGAGGTGTTGACTTGCTGCCATGAAACTTGACTATTACTGTATCTACAGGCTTATTACACACACACACACACACTGTATTATGCCTGCCTGTAGGCATTTTGAAAGTAGCTTGACCATACCATATGACTTCAATGACATCATGTGGGTATGAAGTAACCATAAAAAGACAACACAGTATTTCTACTAAATAAGAAAAGATTTATTGACCTCCACAACTAAATGTGTTTTTGCTGCAAGCATTCATTTAGAATTTTGACATATGAAAAAATTTATTGTATTATTAACATTGAAAAAAACGTGTACAAGTTCTGAAGACCCTGGTATTATGTGTATATACATGCAAGTTATTTATAAGATTATTCTTTAGTAATGAAGTATGCACATAGTATTTCAAATGACTTTGTAGTTTGGAATTAGCTACAAAGGCAATAGTGACTGTTGTGTTTACAGCATCGTAAAACATGGACAACAGATCACTTATTCCTAGCATTGTCTATAATATTGTCAACAATGGGACAAAAGATCACTCATTTGTAGAGTTGTGTCATTAGTGTTGTAAACTTTAAGACAACATAGTAAATACAGTTGAAATTGTTATCTTGAATACATACCTGATGTCAAAATCAGAATTCATTCTCCTTCATTTCTATTAATGATTACTGTGTCTAATACCTTACATTTATTATAGATCAAAGATCAAACTAAGGTCAAGAGTACAGAACAGCTATTTTAGTTCTCTTATATCTCAAATAACTTTGTAAGGTCCCTGGCACTTTGACATACCAGTGTTTGACTGTATAAATACCTGACAGTTTCTGTGCTTGTCAAAATTTAAGAAAACAAATTTTACATACAAGTAATAAACAGTCATTATACTTGCCATTATCATTAAAACAAACAAAAAAAAGTTACTATTAATAAGTTAATATAACAGGTTAAAGTCAAAGACTAAATCCTTGACTGACATTTTTTTAAACAGTCAGTACATTGATACAGTTCAGAACTAGTCTTAGATATGAAACATAAGAATATCCATAGTTTGTTGGTTCCAGTATCCAGTTTTATTTTTTCATGGGATTTTTTTACATCAGTTTCCAGTTTTTCCTTAATTTATTCTATAGAGTCAGTGTTTTTATTTGTCCAAGTATAATGGTACCCACCTTTTAAACGACACCAGTTGGTTATACAAAATGTGACAGGTCACTACCATCAATAGAAACTTTTTGTTTACTATCATCACCCTTATTTTTATTAAAGTTACTTTATAAAGATTAACCTAGTTAAATCTATATAATTATCTGTAATCAATGTTTTAAAATGACACTGTGACTTACTATTGCATATTACATTTTGTCAGCATTATAAAGAGACAACAGACTACCAGTACATGCAGTAATGTGTCTGCAGTACTGAAAACAATGGGACAACAGATCACTTGTTCATAAGAGTAGCGGCTTCAGTTTTGTAAAATTTGGACAACAGACCACTTATTCAAAGATTTATGTCTTTATTAATATAAACTTTGGGACAAAAGGTCACTCATTCACAGAGTTGTCTCTTTAGTAAACAGTTGGACAACAGATTAATCATTCATAGTGTTGTGTCTTTAGTATTGTAAACAGTTGGACAACAGACCCTTCATTCATAGAGTTGTGTGTCTAGTATTGTAAACAGTTGGATAACAGACCACTCATTTGTAGAGTTGTGTCTTTAGTATTGTAAACAGTTGGACAACAGATTACTCATTCATAGTGTTGTGTCTTTAGTATTGTAAAGGGTTGAACAACAGACCATTTATTCATAGAGTTGTGTCTTTAGTATTCTAAACAGTTGGACAACAAACCACTTATTGATATAGTTGTGTCTTTAATATTGTAAGCAGTTGGACAACAGACCAATCATTCATAGAGTAGATATTATCTGATATTGAAAATGAAGGCACAAAGGCAACTAGAATGAAACTACTTCAGTAGTCTTCTGGACCATGTGTTAATGCATAGAAACTAACTAAAAGAAAATACATGCAAATTTCTGTGTTATGAAAGATGGCGGAAAACTTCTGATATGCCCATATATCACAAAAGGTTTAAAAATACCTGAAGACTGTGTCTTGATGGTGTTTTTAGTATTATAAACGGTTAGACAACAGACCAGTTGTTGATAGAATTGTGTGTTTAGTTTTGTAAATGGTTGGACAATACACATGTATCAAGTAGCAAATCAAAATATACATTGTTTCAGGATTTGTCTTTAGTATATAACGTGTTTTTTAGAATCATAGCAGTTAGACTCCCCATTGAAGGTAAAAAAGTGATTGGTTTAGCAGTTTCTATGAAGGAGAAATATTACAATGAAAGAACAAAGAAGGTGCCAGTTTTTTTTTTGTGCTTTCTGTTATGTTCCAGTTTGTAATATATGCTACTAGTACTAAATACTACAACTCATAACTCTACCACATAATGCTGATACATGTATTGGAAGTGTTTTAAACACAGAAGATGTCTGTGTAGGTTTAAACATTTAGAGACAGTATTGTATACTGAAAGCTACAGCTGTTGCCATTGGTGTAATAATAATCCACAGGGTAAAATGTTGTATGGCCTTTACTCTATTAGATGATGTAACAAAATCAGAGAAAAAGGTTTGAGTAAATTGACCCAGTATTCTGTTGGGTAAAGAGGTTACTTCAAAGTGATAATAATGGACATTCCAAAAATAACATAGAATGGACAAATCACAGAAATGCAGTTCCTGTCATCTTTCTGGCTTGTGTTAGGTGAACGAGTTTGAATGTACTACTTTCTTCTTAAAAATAATCTAAGTTTTTTTTTCAACATAGTTAAAGACATGTTATCTGAGCCACCAGTAAGGCTTAAGGTAGAACTTTGATGAAAAAGTGCCATGTTGTTAAAAAAGAAAAATACTAACAATTGTGTGGAACTGCAAAAAAAATATACATTGTTAACATCAGCTTTCCATGAACCTTCTTTAAACATTTATCTTTACAGAATATTCTTTAATTTGGTAACATTAACTATACATTAGGTGTTTTAATCTATTTGTACTATTAAAACTGTTTTGTACAGAAACGAGAAAGTAGTTCATAACATCAGATTAATTAAGCAAAGCGTGTACAAGTGAACATGATGTAGAGCATATTTTTATTCATTTCTTAATATGTAGCCTTTTTTAATGTTTTAGCTATAATATATTCAAAGTTATTATGAATAATAATGATCAAGCAATATACAGTTTTGTATACTACAAGCAGTAGTATTAACAAAAAAAATGAACTAGTTTAAAATACAAGTATGTTTACTTAAAATATTTAGAAGTTTTCTTCAGATGCTAAGAAGTGATATTTTCTTAAGGCTTTACAATCAACATCCATTTCAACAGTATTTTTTTAAAAGCCAAATTTTTTTTGTGTGTAAAACGAAGTGAAAATGATGCAATAAGTATCTTTCCTCATCTTTATAGTATTTACCAAAATATTTTTGATATAATAAATGGATATTTTACTGATACATAATTCTAACAATTATGGTGTCATATGTTTAAAAATAATACTTTGGTAAACTCTATCATTGTGTGTGTATATCAAAACTGAATGATATGTTTTGTTAAATAGTTATTATTCATGTTTTTGTCCAAAGGTTAAGAAGTTGGTTATTGAACACAATCATTAAAGATTTTTGTCTTACATTCAACATATATTTTTCTAAACAGATCTTGGATAAAATTGTAATTGAAAATATTGTTGGTATAATGTTTTTTTACATCTGTATTTCCTTATAGCTAGCTTCAGAGACACCAGGAATAAAGATCATTTTTACATATAGTAAATTCTACTGTTTTTACGCTTATTGAATTAAAATACACAATATTACGTAAACATTTTACAGTTCAACATGAAATATACAAAGATTGGGTTTGATAAAAAAAAATTGTCAATATCAAGAATGCTAATGCAGTTGATAGAAAACTAATAACCAGTTCAAGTTTACTGAAGCTGATTATATAGACTTCCTTTATTCTCCTGAAGAAGAATAGTCAACTATTCGAAAACTCTCTAGTTTTGAGTCTCGTTTTGAAAATACTACAACTTTTGTAGGTGATCCTGTGTGCTAACTACTTAACCTGAAGTAGTCTAATTATATGGCCTTTCTTTATCAGATGAGTTACTGTTACATATATCAAGTAGACTGATTATATGGTCTTTTGTTATCAGGTGAGTTAATGTTACACATATCAAGTAGAGACTGATTGTGTGGTCTTCCTTTATCAGATAAGTTAAGGTTACACATATCAAGTAGAGTCTGATTTAGAATGACAAGTTTTATTAAACTTATTCACAATAACTACATGAATGCCAGAAACAGTTTAATTTTTAAATACTAGGAAACAACAGTTCAAGAGGGTTCACTTTGTATATGTTCTTAACAATACATGGTTTATGACCTCTGAAATAAATGGTTGTTGTGATCATCTCCAGGGTACACTGTGAGTTACTTAAACTTGTATTATTTTCAGGAGTGATAAACATGTTTTACTGTACTAAGGTACTTTTGTGTTTACTTCCACTGTAATATGAAGTTGTTGGTTGATTGCTCATGGAACACCAGTGTATTAGAGACCACATTTGGTGGAATATATTATGTTCACAAAGTTATTTGGTATGGTCTTCAGTGTTCAAATTATAAAGTTTAACTGAAAAAAAGTTTAATATTTATTTAGGAGATTTCAGAGGTTACAAAAACGAAATTCGAAAATTTTCAGAAAAAGGAAAGTATTTTTAATCTTAACATGAAAATAACTTTGCAGTCAACACTTTCACAGACAAATCTGATTTTTTATGTACAAAATGACTTGTAATGTTTACTGAAAGCTTGCCAAATTTCATGAAAATACACAAAACATATTAAAAATTATAGTATTGAAACTGATTATTACTTTGTGATTACAAGTTTGGTTACATCAACCAATCTTGTATGGGAAGTACGAGACCACTTTTAGTGGAATATATTATGTTTACAGTGTTGTTTTCTGTGAACTTCTGTGTTCATGTAACACCAGTATAATAGATAACACTCTCAGTGCATATTATATGTTAGTGACACTGTTGTGTTGTGTAGTTACATCATGTTTTATGATAATTTGTTATTGAATATACCTCATGGGTACTCACTGAGTTGTGTGTTTTAACATGTGCTCTAGTTTATGTGGAATTGTATTAATTTTTTTATGCTGTTAGTGAGTTCATGTGTAATGTACTGTCAGTTTTATGGTAGCACCCAAAAAATATACACAAACACACATGTAAAATGATTTATTCACTGTTTTCACCCAAACGTTGACTCAGTAAGTTTCATTTGAAAGCTCTTTGTTAGTTTTAACTGTTGAACACAACAATTGCTTTAATTATATTCAAGTTTATTAAATATACTTGCATATTTTAAAAACAGTGTGTGTTACTGATCCTGACATGAAGTAAAGCCCTTTTTTTCATATCTTAACTTGTCTCAGGTTGTTTGAAAGTTCTGTAATGTTGCTTGGTGTAAGTTTCATTGTATTATTATTCACCTCCACTACTCTTCCCACAGACAACTTTACATTATTATAAACTGATAATGGATCCACACATCCACTTGTGTCCCTGATGGAAGTTAAAGAGAATAGATATGTTTCCTATTTAAATTGATGGTGAGGTACTTTTGGTTTACATAACTTACCTAATAGTTTCCCTTTGCGTGTATAACTTAAAACATAGGGCTGTGCAGAGACTAGTACTACAGCTATATGGATGTCAGTACTGCAATTCTTTTCCCTACCTTATAACACACAATGCACATTTGTTTTTTTAGATATGGAATTGGATAAATGACTTTCTGGTAGCTTATTTGACTTTGCTGATCTGGACGGTTGCCCAGATTTTGGTGTTATGTACACGGCCTCTTCCGAGACCAGAGATTTTGCCAATTATGCTTTCATTTACACCTTACATGTGCCCACATTTCATGGGAGTGACAATTTCATTTGGCACTTGTCAAAGGAATTGCAAATTCCAGATGTGTTTCAGGACAAAAGTTGAGCCATCTCTGAATAAACAAGAAAACTGTAATATATATTGTGTGTATACATTTATATATATATATGTCATAAATTTTTTGGCTCGAATTCTATGGCTATGCCATTTTTATATACATATACATACAACATACTTAGCCTGGGAGCATTTCCTTAGGACATATTTTCTGCACTCAGCTAAGCTGGATTTTATTATTCCAGTCTCTGTAATTATACTGTTATGAACTATCCAGCTCTGAAATTTAAATTTGTATGAAAGACTAAGAAAATGCTGAGTGTCACAGTTACTTCTACATTTCCTGTAAATGTGGTCTTAAAGAAGTGTTTGTGCAGTAAATCTTTTTCATTTTGTGCTGATGTTTCCATTAAAAGTGATGTTATTTTGCTCATTCAGTTGCCAATAGGATAATTCCTATTATAAGTGTTAATGAATACAACCACATATATGAATCATTCATGATGTCAGAAAAACACATGGGTTCAAGAATATGAAATTATAAAAACCCTGTAACCTGAGTGCTTTTGAAAGGTGAACTTTTCTTCATTTATTCTTAGAAGAGTTTGAGTAAAGTTCTGATAAAACAGCATGAAGAGGTCCAACTAATAAGCAGCGTATTGACATGATTTCATAAGTTATGCAAAATATACCAAGAAATGTGTGAAAAAAACGTCATTCAATAGACTGTCTGGTACTACTTTGGGCAGGAAAGCCTACAAAACATACAGTACATTTCTTGATATATTCAGCATCAAATTAGGAAATCATGTCAGTAAACTGCTTATCAGCCTCAGTGGTATTCATGACCAGCATGAAGAACAAAGAGCTAAAATATATATAAAATTCCAAAACAATGCACTACATTGTGAAAATTGTCATGGACAGTCAAAATCCTGTACAAAAGTTATAATCTTTGCAGATAAAGTTTATACATATATATATTACATATACAATATTTAAATGGTAAGTAAATTCAAAACCTGTGATTTGCTACTATCTCAATCATGTTTGAAAGTTTTTATTACTAATATTTTTATTACTGGTAGCCTGAAACTGGGCTGCCAACTTTTGTGAAATCATCAAATAATCAACTTGATCCACCAAGCTCTTCCCAGGTTCTATTAAACCAAAAACTCTAAGCTAGTTTTTGCTCTTTCCATTTCATGAAGAAAAGAATAAAACTGTGCCAGAGAAAGCTCTGAAAAAAAAGAAGAGAGAAACTAATAGTTTATAAAGATATTGAGATAATGTAACCTAAGATTAATTTTTTTATGACTAGTTATCTTATCATAAAATTTTACAATTCATAAATTACAATATTACCTAGAAATTTATTTTCCACTTGTCCATTGCCTTTATCAATAACTAGTTTCATCTGCAAGAAGGTATTTCCCACTTGGTTGATTTCACTGCTGGCTGCAGTCACTGTGTAAAATCATGAAAGATATCAGCCATTATATTGCAAATACTTCTATTATTAGAAATGAACACCTCAGAATTATAATTAGAGCAAAGTTGTTGCCAGTATTGTGATATTTTTGCCAACAAAGCAAAGCTGTAACTAACCTCCAAACTTCCATTCCATATCTATCAACTGGTTCACACTGATGATCTGGTTTAAGCTTGTTTGCACAAGAGCAGAATAGTCACTTTCCCACTGAGAAATAAAAGTAAGAACAAAACATATGCCATGATCTCAGAAGCCTTGTTTCATTTTAAGTAAATCAATATTGTCATGATATAAAAGACCGTTTGGTTTAGATGTTAGTGAATATTTTATTATAATAAGAGTTAGAAGGAGATAATTGTCGGAAGTTTGATTAATAATTCATTGACGTTGAGAACATAGAAGGTGAACAGATGATTAAGTGATAAAGATATAAATAGCGTGAGACAAGCAGGAACAGCAGACAGATAATAGCGAAAGAGAATATAGTTGCTGTGAAGTTAACTACCGTAGAAGCGATAGGCCTAACATTTAATACGTTAGAGTGAAACTAACAGTAGAAAAGAAGATAAGAAAAATAATTTTATTCCATCAAAGCGTGGTTCTAAAGTTATTGAATCAGCCTGAGTGCACTTTGACAAAAGTAGCAGAGGATCTTCAAAAGAAAGAAGACCAAACGATTACGGTAACTCGTGCTACAATTGTAAGTGAGTCACAGAGAATACTAGTGCAATAGAAATAGAGAAGATAGTTCGGCATGTCAACTGAAATTTTAAAGTAATTGAATAGGCCTAAGTGGATATTTGACAAGAAGGAGAGAATTATATATATAATATTTATATGTCCATAATATCTATAGTTTTGAAGAATTTATTGTACATACATTAACTTGTTCTGAATGTATATATTATTTTGAAAACAAGTGAAGTGAGTGCTATTTATTCATTGTTGAATTTATCACTCACAAGTCACAGACACCTACTGTAGAAGAATCCTGAGCACAACAACAACATAGTATATATTTATACTATT